TTTAGTTCCCTTGAGCAAAGCCCGGCTATCATTTTCTAAAATATAAAGTTTTCATCTTTGATAACTCTTTCCGTGATCACATTAAGCTTCAGTATGATCCAAAAATCCAAATTGAATCTGTTTACTCTTTATTTCCTGACCACAAATTATCTATTTTTTGGACTTTTGGGATTTTTGGACACCAAGGAACTAATCCGAAAGCTCATTCATGTGTTAATTTCTCGTTTCATAGACTTTTGGCTTACCTACATATTTTATTTATAGCATTTTTAAAATATTAAGAAATCGTTTTGGTAAACATAAAGTTAACAAATGATCATTAACAAACTGCAGGATAAATCTGCTTTGCTGCTCACAACTTTCATCAGTTTATGCCATTTTTCTCACACATAAAACATTTCGATTATCAAAGCAATTTTAATATCAGAGTTAAACCTTTATGTTTAAGGAAAACATAAAGGTTTTATTCTTGCAACCATATTAGTCAGTTAATCTCTGAATGACTCTAAGAATTAAGGATTTAGAGTGGCCTAATCAAAGTTTGCATTTGAATTTAATTGAGATGCAGCAACGTTCATGCTTGAAAACCATTGACTATTGTATCTATTGTTGATATGTCTAGGGTTTTACTTTATTTACACACATCATCCCTTCTGTTACTTTTGTTTCATGATCTGAAAGCTTTAGGTCTGATAAAAAGTAAATCCAGAAAATTTGGGCTTTTTCACATCACTGAGAGAAAAGAGGGTGTAATTTAGAACATTATTTCTGAATTATGACACCAAACTTGATATGTAACTTTATACCTTTTCAGTTGTCTGTCTGTGATATTGATGAGTATTTCTCTTGTTCTTTTCCACAGTGATCAACTGATTCTACAACATCTTTGATACCTTCAAATTAAAGAGCTTTACAATAGGAAATTAATAAAACACCTTTAAGCACAGATTTTTGGTGGATTTGCTTTCAAAACCATATTTTCTGCAGTTTTGCAGAAAAAAGTATGAATCTATAAATCAAACCTATTTCACCTGCATTAATAATCCTAAAAAATAAGAACTCTTCCTCGTTGGACAAGGTAAACAATTCGTCTCTTCTTCAGGTGAAGACCTCCTCAGTGTGGGAGTATTCTCACTTAATGCCCAATGAGGTTTCAGCAAAGTCAGAAGAAGCATAAAGTGCTGATGTAAGCCTTTCATTTAACTCCTGCGGCTGCTGAGGTAATTACCAAATGACAGGAGAGTTGGTGCTAATTAATTTACAGTTTAAGTCTAACAAAGGTTGATAAGACACCGGCTGGAAAACACAGAGGTAATGGTGCTAATTAATCTGGGAGGAGTTAATCGGCTAACACAGTGCTTGTGTAGGGTCAGGTGGGAGAACTTGAGGATGTTATCTAACAATGAGGTAATGGTTTTTCAAAGATTTTGCAAATCAGGACAAAATGATTCCAGTCTTTGACGTACTCTTGCATGGCCCCTCGGCAGTGATAATGAATACTCCAGTGCTGACCACATATTAAACTTCGGAGCCCACTGGCCAGAGACGGAGGCTTAAGTGCACTTTGTTGGCCCTCATGAAAGAATGAAGATGCTAATGTCAGCTGGATAAATGCTGCGTCACTAAAATCTGTCTGCTGTTTACTTTTAGCTCAAATGAACTGACAGTCCAGAAAATATCCCCAATCCCTGATCTCTTACTGCTTTAAGTCCAGAAATGCTTTTTGCCCATTCTTGCTGTATTAGATAATGATAGATGGCACTGTGAGACAAAAAAGACTAAAGCATATGCCAACCAATAAAACAAGTTGAAAATTTTGAAATAGATTCCACAAATATAGCAACAACTTGCATAATTTAAATTGTTTGCTCTCTTCAAATTTCTGAAAAAGAAATTATGCTGAAAATTTAGCTGAACTTTTCCACTTTACAAATATCTCTCTTATACTTTCGGGTTGTCATTTTAGTTATTTGACTGAGTTTTTCAAATGTGTTTTCATTTTCTTAAATTTTCTGTATAACAGCAATGTCACAAAAGTAAATTATTATTATTATCATTATTATTATTAGGTCTTAGTCACACATAGGGCGTAAAAGTTTTAGTTTAATCATTACGGGAGTAACATCTTTCAAAAATAAAAATCTGAGAAGTGTGGGCTCCAAACTGCTAATAAAATATTTAGTTTACCTGCATATAATGTAATCTCAGCTACAGTTGTTCACAATTGTTCAGTTAAAATCTTAGAAGTTTGTAAAATAGTGGATTGGTATTTAAGAACAAATGCAATGTTTAGATAAAATAATAGCTTTTGTTAACCTAATCTTTAAGTAATAATGAGGAATACATTAGTCAGTGCAAGTAACATAAAAAGGTGCATATGTAGTTTGCATGTTGAGTTTTATTTACGTTACAGTCTTAACTGGTCACTAGATGGCAGCACTGCATAAAGCACAACTGGAATCCACATCTCATCAGTTGCAGACACACCTGATGAAAAACAATTATACATATATTTGGACAGCACTGATTTTAAATTAGTTTCATGCCAAGCTTAAAGACTGAAGCTCCAACTATTACTGGACTTTATGATCCCTCTGGGTGCAGAAACCTACAGAGCTTGTTTTGATAGAAACGCTGCTACTTCCTGAACACTGCAGCAGTCACAAAAATATCTATATTTCCCTTCTTAACGGCAGGTAAACTTCATTATTCAGAACAACCTGCTGTCAGCAAAGCATTGAATAACATTACTTCTGGTTCTCAGAGTGAAACTTCAGAAATGAAAACGCTCCGGGTCATGAGTTTAATATCCCAAACCGCAGATTCTTGGTGTTTCTGACCATCTTTTAGCAGCTCTCCAGCGGCTCACCAGTCTGCCTAAAGAGCCATTAATGCCTCCTGTAGGGAACAGAACGGGTCTGATGGTTGGCGTTTTGGTTGGAGGCAAAGCCGTCTCCTTAATGACCTTACACTCCCTTGAGCTCACAGCTCGTGGCTTATAGATCACACCAGCTGTGTTGACTCAACTGTAAATATAATGTAGCTCGTAAACACCACAGGGATATTATGATGTGTGTTTGTGTTTTCACGTGAAATATTGATGCATGAGGGTCAGCCCAGGGCCTAAATTGCGTTGTTTTGATCCGAGAGTGGGGGAAATGGATTATTGTGTTGTGGGAAAATAACTATCAAGTTGATGTATTCTGAGGTTCAAATGGTAATGAAGGTAATAACCAGATGGAGCGAATCTGAAAGAAATATGTTTTTACTCTAAGAAATTGATGCTTTGGGTTCATAAGTCTCACCTCTCCATTAGACTCTCCTCTGCTTTGCGCATTCATTGTGTTCATAGAAGTATGTCTGCCACTTTATCTTTTTCATGGCAGCATCTCCAGTTTTTTCTATGCTGTATAACGGATCAGTGCGCGAGGTAGGACTAAGAACTTTATGAAAAAAACATGCACTATATTATTCAGAGCTGGAAATGGCATAAAACCCAACTGAACTGAACTGTTTCAGCTTCAAGTTACACAGTAGTATCACTTTCTTCATTGTTTAGCTCAGGGATTAGGACTAAACTAGCAATGCGAGTCAATTCAGTGCTATGTGTAGATGATGTAATGATAAACTAATGTAACTGTAAATAAAAGTTCAATTAATGGGGCAATATTTCAGGTTCAACTTTTTATTATGGACACAGGAAGTTTAACCTCAGCTTAAATGGCATATGTCACCATTTTAGCAATTTTCATTTTAAGTTGTTTCCATCCTTGTAACTCACAAATGTGACCAAAATGAAGAAATGCGTTAAAGAAAAAAGTAGAAAAGAGAAAAAGGCAGCTGAGAATGTAGATGATGAGATGATTTTTCACTGATATTTCATCAATATCAATGGATAGGACAATAGTTGGCAAGCATAAAAAGTGAAAGCAAAGGGCCCAGGTTGAATTTTAATTCTGAAAAGTGAGGATTTACATGGAACTTGATCCAGGTAAGAGGAAAGTTTTTATGTGTGAGAGCAGTGGCTGGGAGATCTAACAAACAGGCACCATGTGAAGGGACCTAAAAGCTCTTTGACGTGAGTCCAAACTGCCTTTAATCCTCCCACGGTTTTAAGAAATGGTCTCAGTTGGATCCCTCTGGCTTTTTATCCAGCTAACCTGCGCTGTCTGTTGGGGTCACACTTTTACACGGCTTTATTTTTCTATGAGTGGCTCCAGGAACTCATAGAAACCTTATGAACCGCACAACAAAGGGAACACTCTGTATTCAAGGGAAGTCAGTATTTCACAACTTTAATGGTGAAAAAGACTCAAATGGTCTGACAGGACAATCTCCCACTTCCCTGATATCTGACCATGACCTCTATAGTACTCCACCTTTGTGACATGCGAAGATGGAGTGATTAGCACCTTAGCATGTCACAAATGTCGGGAGGGTTAATGAAATTATTATAATTCTCCACAGCGTCAAAAAGCAGTAGTTTAAGAAACTACATATGTAATTTATTCCCAATTTCTGACTAAGATTGTTTCCTCTGTATTATTGCCTTATGAAGGTAGTCCGTCAATAATTATTCAACCTGCACAGTTGATTGAATAACAAAATGTGTTGAATATACAAATTAAATATATGTAGCATTTACAAATTCTGGTGGTTTGTTCAACTAAATCATTTAAAGTTCTTTTCCTGGAAAAGTGTAGTTCCAAATGCTAAGCAGTTGATCCAAGAAAGGTAAGTTTATTTATAGTGCACAGTTCAGCAAAAAGTCAATTCAAAGTTTATTTCCGATGTCAAGTTGTTCTCAACCACACAACAAAAGGAACACTCTGTATTCAAGGGAAGTCAGTATTTCAAAAATGTAATAGTAAACAAGACTCTGATCATATGATCAAAAAGTTGAGCTTTGTTTTTTTATTTCCTTCCTGTTTGAAAAACCTAAACACCACAAAAGCTGAACTTTAAATATTGACCCCCAAAAAAACACAAGGACACATGTACACATTAAATATAAATCATTTTATAATATACAAATTGTACAGATGCCAGGTACAGTAGGAATGTTGACATACTCAGAATAGGAAAGATAGAGAATACTTTTTCTACATCAATGCAAATGACACCGGCACATGATACTTAACATTCAAGATGGCAGCTCAGGTGTTAAAAAAATACATCAGAGAGAAAGAAAATCTAACAATACATTTTCCAGAGGCTGTGAGCAAAGCCAAAGTGACAACACAGGAAAAAAAGTAACTGCATCCTATTGTGTTATGTTCTGTCGCTTCTACTTTGTCCGTTTCACATCATTGTAGCACACAGGAAATGAACCATTGCGTTTTTTTTTATAGTATTACCAAGAGCGATTGCACCAGCGCCACTACTCAGGCTCAGAGACATTTATGCTGATATAAGACAGCAAGCTGTATATTTCTCACAGATACTATAAATGGAGGGGAGCACAGATGTATATTTGAGTCTAACATTAGTCAAAGGTCCCCTCCTTTTCACACACGGCAGAGTTAACATGGTTCAGCATCGTTTAGCTGATTAAATGTCAGGTTCTGCCTTGCTTTTTGTCTCCCCGTCTGTGTTAACATTAACAGCAGGCAAAAATAATTGAAGAAAACCCCCAATTACTCACACTCCCTTGAGCATATTCATGCTGGAGGTTAGACTACACAGCAACCTAAATAGTAAGTGCTTAATGAGGAGATGGTACCCTGCAGGGCTCAGGTAGAGAACTAGCGGGAACAGGGTCAGGTCCTCTGTCAAAGTTTCTGTTGTCCATGCTGTTGAGCCGGAATAAAAAACAGTCAGGTTACTCTGGCTTAGCTAAATATCTAATCTGCTCTCCAGACTATGATTCTGTTGTGGAATACATGGGTAGAACAACCCAAATGGGCTCAAGTCATACTTTTCTGATTTTAAAGCAAACACAAAAGAAGAAGAAAGCAGGAGCACCGACATTGATTCACAACAGTTTAAATTTCAAGAATATCAAGTATTAAACTCATGAATACATTCATTACACAAAGAGTAATATATTCCAAGCATTTATTACTTTTTCTTTTAATGATTATAGCTTGAAGCTAACTCCGGTCCTCGATGGCTGGTCTCCTGTAACTTTTAGATGTGTCCCTGCCTGGGACACCTGAATCAAATCTTTATCATGGGTTCACGTTGTACAGAGTTCCACCAATAATTGAATTATTTGATTTGCATATTGCAACATCTTAAAGTTACAATTCACAGGCCTCAATACCTGGAGTTTGACATCTCTAAAGTGTTATATTATGGGGATATTATGGGCCTAGATAATCACAGGGAACACTGTTCACTTACCAGGAGACAGTAAATACCTGCATTTCCATTCAATTGTGGAAACTGGCATTACAAAAAATTTGCTTAAGCTTTTATGTGCTTGGGCTAATTTTAGAAGTAATAGATGGAAGTACAAATTAAAATTTTGTATATGTCCCCTTTAATGTATGAAAACAGGTAAACGAGCCCCAAACAAGTGTTTACTGCACATACATGGGCATTGTTGTGATAGCATTAAAAATCTTATTTTTATTTGTTTTGTAGAGTATTTTATTGTTTGTGATGTAAGTCATAATTATCAAGGTGAGCAGAATTAAAAGACTGAAACATATCACTCAGGAGGTAATGAATCTACGTGAGATTCTGATCAAGTCAAAGATTTCAATATTCTAATTGATCGATTAAATTAAATTTGACTGAAACTTACAGAAGAACAGCTCAAATTATTTCGATTATACTAATTTGTTATGAATTAGTATAATAAAAGAAAAGGTTGGAGCTGTTCATTGACCAACATGAATTAGCATGTTATTTCAGGCTGGTCACATTCCCACTAAATGAGCTCAGGAGTGTCTATGAAATCTCAATCTGCTAAAAAAAAATAATAATAATAATTCAAAGCACTTTAAATAAATATGTCACGGTGTGCTCATGCATTCTCCTGTTTGTACAGCTGAGAAAAATCCATTCTCACTCAGAAACCTTTGACCTTGGCTGCCATTAGAGATGACCTCATGCTCATAGTTATATTGGAGCAGTAGAGGACAGGGAGCATATGTTTCAAGAGGTCGCTCTTGCAGCGACCCCAAAGCTGAAAGCCAACATCAGCCCTGAGGAGGTAGCTCAAAGCACCAGTCAGCAATGCATTTTTTGCAAACTTTAGCAGAATAAGCAGAATAAGCCTCTTTTTTTCTTGAAAACCAAACATTCACAATCAAGAACATGTCCAAGAAATGTCAGAAAATAATACAAAATGTAATACCTTCATATGGATAAACATTTTCAACCCTTCACTCTTAACTCCAGGAATAATATCCTCAAAACACCAACCGGAGCAAAACTTTGCTGTTTGACTATAACAAACATATAACACTTAAATCACCAATATGCCGCTAAAAAACATTTCTAATAGCAGATTCTGGGCCATTTACAGTATAGTAATAAGGCTAAACTGGTCACAGTTTTATATTCTACTCTACACAAAAACATTTTCCATTTTACATTTAAAGGAATCTCACCAGAGGCAGGAGAGCACTTTAAATTGTAGAGTTTCTTCTCCAGAGAAGAAATACTTTTCGCAACCACATATCATTAATTATCACAACACAAAAATGATAATTGTGACAAATTATACGAGGACAGCAGGTACTTTTTAATCAGCCAAATGCTAACAGTTTACAAAACAGGTATTACGATGAGGTGCAAGTAATTTTCTAAATCAAGCTTGTCCTCTCCGGTGCAAACGGATCCCCATGACATCCTTTTCAAACATGAAACTTGACATGTTGAGGTGTTTTGTTGTCAATAACTCCCCCCAACAAGTGACCCCCCCATTATAAATGCATGATTACTGACAGATCCCCCACTGACAAAATCCATTAGCGATCCACAGAGAGCCCCGCTCTGTAAACATCGCCTCCTCCCTCTCTCCCGCTCCAGCTCTAAAATGGAAAGCCACGCAGAGCCGCGATACGGCACATTATGACTCAGTTAATGTCAGACACTGCGTCCAGTAAGAGGTGCAAAAAGAGATGGAGGTAACGCAATGAAAGAAACCTCTGCAGGAAATGCTGGTTACAAATGACCGTTGCTTTAAACAAACCGATTTTTTCTGTTATTTGAGTCTTTCACACTCAGTGGTCCTTCTTTATTTCTTCTTTATTCCCTTTATCTGACTTTCTCCTTCAGAGCTCTCACTTCTGGCTTCAATACAGAACAAAGGCAACCCCCAACTACACATTTTGTGCAGAAATCCTCTTTCCTGTATGTAAAGCTAACAGAGGAAACCTAACTGCTGATCCTGTCCTTGAGGTGCGAACATTCAGCTGAATTTAATTTTCTTGTCTGGCTGGGCTTGGGAATATTATTGGGAACATTCTGTATGCAAGGTAAGCTTAGCGCACCATACCAAAGAGTGATTATCGGCTCTCTTTGAAGCACTTGACGGCTTAGAGCTCAGCGTAAACAATGATCTCCACAGCCTGCTTTGGATTGCCTGTCGCAACAAATGCTTTTCGCATCACCTCTAACAGCGCGCTCCTATAAATTTCCTCTGCCTCCCGGATCAGAATGTAACAAGGAATGACCTGCAAGAACATTAAAATATTACATTTAATGTTGAGGAAATAGACCTGGGTCTTGCCAAGATTTTAGAGCAAACTATCTAAGGAGGTGATTTCCTTACAAAGAACTGACACAACCAGAAAACCTGCTCACTCTAGAAAGTCATATAGCAAAATTTATTTTCTCTAATTATAAATATGAAAAGTTATTGTAATTAGCTCCGTCATAAGGGTTCATGAAGATGGTTGGAACAACCTAATGTTGGTCAAAAAACAAAATAATAGAAGAAAACTTAAAAATAAATCTCAGATGAGCTTCATAAAATGCCATCTAACTCGATAAATTAATTTCCGATTTTATCCAAATACTTTTGTATATATTTCATGTTTTTAAAACCTCAAGCTGCAGTGACTGTTTACTAGCTAAAGCTAAAGCTTAAGCCATCTATAGTAAATAGTGAGTGTTTAGTGAACAAAGCAGCTCTGGTTTATCTGCCACTCTTACTGGAACTGTGACCAAGTCTTTTTGAGGTTTTTCATCTCACTGCTTTCCTTCTGATCCTCTGCCTTTATCCATTCAGTGTTTGGACTCCACATGGACCTGCCTGCAGAAGCATCCCCTGTTGTTAAATACATTCAGTATCTGTGGTTATACAATAGAACTGATGTCATGGTCTTCTTTTGTTTAGCTACACTGTTGCAGGTTTATCAGGGACTCATATGAGAGATGGGGGGTTTGGATGATCCTGCAGCAATGCAGAATAACCTTTCCCCACCTTCCCACTTCAATTTGGATTCAGGAATCAGTTTTAAAGAGAGGGAATTTAAGAGGTATGATGGGGAAAAGCTCGACTTGCATGGTGCTACTCCTGAGCCTCCACTGGGTTTGGGTCTGTGGCTGCTGGATCTGCCACAGTCTCCTTTGCGATAACCTCCACTGGTTCCCCTGTTTTGATTTCATTCTCTTCACCGTCATCTTTCTCTTCATCTGTCTCAATCCCATTTTCTATCACGGATTCAACTTTCAAAGTGCCCTCAAGCTCCTTTTCTTTGGTCTCACTCTGTTTTTCTACAGTCACAACTGTTTCATTGACCTCCTCGACCTCCCCCTTTCCTGATGGCTCTCCATTTTCTTCTGATCCCTCTCCACCTGGAGCCTTGCTTTCTGTCTCCTCAGTGCAGTTTTCTGCTACTTTGTCTTTACTTTTCTCTGGTTCATCTTCCCGTGTGACTTCTTCGATGCTGCTTAACATCCCTGCATCAGCCTGTTTATCTTCTTCACACTTTATCTTCCTCTCTTTCTTAGATTCGCCTGCTACCTCCACCTGTGCTGCATTTGTACTTCCAGTCACAGTCTTTTCCTCTTCCTTGCCAAATTTCTCTCTGTCATCAACGATCTTCAGATCCTCAGAATCCTTCTCAATTATTGTCTTTTTCTTCTTGTTCTTCGCCACGTCCTTGATGCAGTTTTTGTTGGACTTGCTTCGGGCCTTGAAGATTAGTTTCTGAAACATTTATGGCACGTTAGTTAGACAATATTTCCATCCACAGAGCAGTACACACAGACTTAATTAAGAACGGATCACAGCAGATCTAATATTGAGATTGAATAACTTCGTAATTTAAACAAAACAGAGCAGGAAATTGAGGCCATGGTGGGTGTTGCCTGATTATTGGTGGCCTTGAGAACATCCATTTGAACAAACAATCAAATCAAAACATTGTATCTGGTTACATACAGTTATGTGAACATTTTACACATACCAATTCATATTAGGTTCTTTAGTAAGAAATGCCAAACCTTATTTTGTGCATATCTCTGGAAAAGAAAATAACGAAATTTTACTTAAACAATAAAAACATAACCTAGCTTTACTCATTGAACAAAAGATATCCAATATTTATTTTTCATAGGATAAAAAGGCTGGTTTTACTCCCTTTAACTTGACTGAGATGATTTTTTGTGGCAATCTGGCCTTTGTGTTTTTTTTCTGAGAGTGCAAAGGTAAACCTCCTAGGAAAGTTAAACTTTTTGCAGTCGTTTTCTGACATTACATGCTTTCAAGAGAAGGCGTTTTTTTAAGGGATCTCGTGGTTGCTTTCAGGTGAAACTTTCTTAGACGATCAGACGTAGACATGTTGAGAGCCGTCTTGAATGTCCTGGCAGTGAATTAGCTGATTCTTTTGAGACCTCTGTAAATCCCCTACCAGGCTCATAAGCTCCTACAATCTTCTTTTTGAAGGCCTGAGACAGCTCTTTCCATGTTATAGTGGTGGGAACTCCTACTTTAGCCGTCAGGAAAACAACAAATTAAATGTCAGAGATTTAAACAGCAAAATACTTCAATATGTTTAGTAATGATTTCCTGAAATGTGCATCTGAAACAATACAGCGGGGTGTGATTCTATCAAAAGCAGGAATTTATGTCAGGATGCCCTAATTTATTACTCACCAGAAACAGTTTATTTTAAATTACATTTAACAAAGAGTTTTAAAGAGTATTTTCTTCTGTTTTAATTGGATTGGATTTTTCAGGGTTGCTAAATAGACAATAAATATTCTCACATTCAAATGTGTCTCCTAACATGCTTTATATTCTTATATGAGTATAAAGATCACAACATATGAGCAATGTCAGAGAGACAGACTAAGGAATAGGTGAAACTACAACTATTTTACAGGTTTTAGATACAGAAAAGTGTTCGTGAGACATGGTTAGACTAAACCAAGAGAAAAAAAATCAACATGAATTCATTTCACTGCAGAAACAGGTAAGCATCAGATGTTATCACAGCTGTTTGGGGTCTACAGAAAAGCGTTAACACCAAATGGTTATCAAAATAACACATTTGTCAGCTGCTGGAGCATTCCTCATATCTGAAACAAAAACATGCTGGTTTAAATTTGTTCACACTGTGCATGTTTATGTACATAAATCAAAAACAGCTGCAGTGCTGAGCTGGAAAAAAGTGATGTTGGTTTTAGATGGTGAATAATGAGCAGAAGGACTAGTGGTAGAGCCTTTAGCGGGAGCAAGGTCTGAAATCTGAAGTTTTAGAGACAGATGTGGCTGTTAGCGCCACATCTGATTACATAAGAATTGCTCCTCACAGCTTTGGCTAAATCTAACAAAAAATAAACAATCGTTATAGAAAGAGTTAAGTACCCAAATGGAGTGGTGATAAGTTCATGTGACTGTATTCCAGAGGGTCAATTGGTAACAGAGTTGATGTGTTGGTGCAGCAGTACGAGGGTCTGATCCCTCCTGGGTCTGGATTTGGTGGAGAACAGAACCAGTCACCTATTGTAAATTCTCTTATGGCAACTCATTCACAGCTGCCTCGGTGCAGGAATGTGGCACTAAATTAAACATGTGCACTTTGTCCCGGAATGGCAATGCTTCGCTCATTAGTTTTTATGAAATTTAGATTTTTAAGGAAAAACAACCTTCCTTTCATATTTCAGTAGCGTAGCCTACAAAGTAAATATTTTTAGAATCCATTAACTTACTGCAAGTATATCTCATTAACATAGTAATTTTGGCCTCAAAAATATGGCATTGTCAATAAATCCTGAGCTTTTTCTCAGATTGCCCAGTTTTTCACCAGCCTTGAACACATAATTTGATCTGTGAATCCCTAGTAGTTAGCTATGAAAGGGGTAAGATGGTTGTTTTGATCATAAAGACTGCAGAAATCTTAAAAATACACAGAAAAGTCAGAGATGTTGTACCTTGGATTCCCTCTTCTTCCGGCTAATGACCGGTCTCTGCAGGAAAACGATCTGCTTGGTGGACAGACTTCCATCGCTGAACGATGTCGACAAGAGGGAAAGAGAGATGGAAGGAAAGGTTGGAAACAATTAGTGCTGTTTTTCAAACACAGTCTGACTGATTTACAGCTTTTAAATCCTTGGTTTTGTCAGACTCTGTATAATTTATTGTTATTTTGTTTTTAAAAATGTTTTTCTAAGCCTCCAAGATGAATGTGGTCCAGTGATAACACACATTGGCCATCTATCAACGTAGCCAATTGACTGCTCATGCTTCACCCTTTTATCTGACAGATTAGACAAAATGCTCAGATTTGTAGCTCAACCTCTTCACCACTGTCATCCGTCAGTGTCACTTCCACACTTTATTGTACTTCATGTTTTAATAGATGAAAGCGGAGAGTGCAACTTCTGAGCATCTTCTTCTCTTTGTTGTTTCCCCAGAATGTAATCCTCCACCCTCTATTCCTGTCACAGTCCTGCATTCTGAGAGGGATAATCTTCACAAGTACTCCTGCTGACAGATTAATCATGGCAGAAAATGCAGATTTTATTATTGAGTGGGCTTTCTTCGTCTCTCACACTCATCCTTGCCCTTCTGTTGGATCATCCCTGGCAGGTTTAGTCCTTTTGTTTGCCAAATTTGTGCTATAAAAGTAACTGCCAGTTGAAGTTTGAACCTTTACCTTCAAAGTTAGGCTAATTTGTGACAACATCATTGTTTATTATTTTGGCATGTGCTACCATATTTAACTCTTTTTGTCACAACTTATGTTTTATATTAACAAAATGCTTTCAATAGCAAAAAAAGATAGCCTGAGTGGATATTAAATTCATTTTCCAAAAGATAATTTTGCTTTGTAAGGAAAATAAGGGTATTTTCATTAGTGATAGTTCAGTAGACTCGGTTTGATTTGGGACTAAAATTGCAAATTTTTTACATATCAAGTCCAAACTTTGACTATGCCACTCCAAAACCTTTCACCTTTTTAGATATTCAGAGGTGAATTTGTTGATATACTTTGGAACATTTTCCTGCTTCATAACCCAAGTGTGTTTTAGCTGCAGATTATAAACTGACGGGTTTATAATCTCTAGAAACATTTTCTGGTACAGAGGAGAATTTCCAGTTCATTTATGCAACAAATCTTCTTTTGCCAAATGTAGAAACAAAAAACTGACAGATTTTTATTTTCTCTTTGGTCACCAGAAGTTTATGCTTTGACATTCTCTTTTTAATCTCCTTCTTGTTGAATCTTGACCTCTGACCTAAATGGAAATAATTAAGACATATTTTTAGACCTTTAGATGTTGCTATGGCATTTTTGTTAACCGTTAATGAGCTTTTGGAGGAATTCTGGTAGACTTGTGATTAGTTGCTGCTTTAGGTTTTATCAGCTTGTGGATAATGTCTTTCACTGTGGTTAGCTGGAGACACAGAGAGATGCAGATGAATTTGTAGCTCTTCTCAGTTTATAATCTCTAGATGTTTGGGGATCTTTTAGCCTGTCTCATGTTTCCTGACAGTTTCTATTCATCCCTTTGTAGGTTATTTCTTGCAAATTTGTCTCAAACGTCCCCACAGCCTAATTTATGGATGTATGCACCAAAAATGTAAAAGCAGAAAAAAATCTATAAGGTGGTTTATATTTTTTCACCATAATGTACTAAGTGAGGGGAAATACTGGATCATTTCTAAAACGAAGATGGCTGCTGATCATTGCACTGTATGAAAGATGGCAGGTTTTACGATTGCTGCAGATCCCTTCAAAACCTGTGACAAATCTTCCCTCTCTCAACATGAAATGGACTCACAGAGGGCTCACTATCTAAACCATCCAAAGATCTTTTTCCATTACCTCCTTCCTTCCACCGTTTATCCATAAACTATTTTCTGGGTTGTCAAGGATGCTGGATGACTTCGCGGTGAATCAAAGCTGATAACTAACGGGCAAAAAGCCCCCAGGCCATTAAACTAGAAAGGAGTGAGATGTCTTAGGAAATTACAGGCCCTCGCTGAACCTACTCCTGGCTGTCAGCGTCAGCGGCTCTGCTGCATCTTCATGTTGTGCAGAACAGAGGCAGCCTGTGGCTGTTTTTGTGTTGTAAATGTAACTGTTGATAGCTTAATTTGTTACAGACGAAAGAACATAACAAACCCAATAAAAATAAATAAATAAATACATAAATAAATAAATAAATAAATAAATAAACACTTGAAGCAAACTTCCTACTCAGAAGTTATTTCACCTATTAAGATATAACATTTTTATTCCAGTTTCTGGGAAAGGGTTGCACAGTGATAAGGTAAATTAAATTGTTCAATCAAAAAGATGAGGATGAGGCATAACTGATGGACTGGTAATGTGTCCATGATGTACTTTGCCTCTCATCCACTGACTGCTGGTAATTGGCAACAATGGATGAATAAATGAAGGTACAGATTTAGCTTGAAGCTCATCTTCATCAACTTCTTAGTTGAAATCTTGATTGTTGGTTAGGAAGGAGGAGATTAGGAGTTTGGGGTTTCTGTGACAGCAGACAAAATACTTGACAAATTCAACAATGTTGAAAAGAGAAGCTGAGGTAAAAACAGTGTAGGGCTTGAGGAAAAACAGATAAATATAGTGGATATGTTAACTTAGGTTTATGAGTAGCGCCACACCCCAGTCATGCCTCTAATTACCCACCAGTTCATCTACTTATCACTCCATCATGTTCCTTCAACTCCACCACCCTTTACCCTCAAGTGGACATTCCCTCATCTCATAACCTCCTCATCATCATTTTCATCCACGTCTCTTTGGTCCAGGATAGAGCATGATGTACCAAGTTGGTTGGGAAAAGCCCATTTCCTAAACACTGCACTTCCACAATGAGTTTCCTCTTCTGAGTGTGAAGAACAAGGTTATAAATAGGGATGAAGAGGACCAATGCTGAGGGTGGATCTTCTTTTTACATCTATGTAGAGAAAACAATTAGAAAGAAGTGAGAAAGATGAGTGGGGAATAATGATTATGTAACCAGATGAGGACTCAGAGGAATGAAGGGATGAAAAGGAGGAGAAATGTAACAAAGGTTTGAGTTTTAAATGTAGGTGTTGATGAAGATGAAGTTTAAGAAAATGAATAGGGAGGACGAAAGGATAAATGGAGCCGGGTGATGAGATGAGGTAAGTTCGTCAGGTGAATCAAGTTGCAGATATGGCTTGGCTTTGATCCCAAACCTTAGATAACACTTTGTCATCAAAACATCACCTTTGTGTCAACTTTTCTTATTCTTTGTTGCTTTCTGGTCCTTTTTAATGGAGCAAAGTTCACATTAACTGTAGTTAATGGCTCCAAAATGTAATTACCATCTACATTAATTGAGTATGGTGAACATGAACGCCTGCTACAAGAATTAATGTTGTGTGGAGAAACTACTGAGCTCCACTTTCGCATTAATTTCAGCCACCGCTGAGATCACTGACACTCATCCGACCTCCTCCAGATGAAGTGCAGCCCTGGAAGCCTCTAAGACAACAAGCAGCATGCACATTTACTTGTTAAAAATTAAGAAGTCGCTTCAAAAACAAGTGTAATGACTGCTGCTAATCTGAAAACGATCATCAAGCATTACTTCAGCGCACAGAATATTTTTTTAGTACTGAGAGAAACGAGCTCCATCTTGTTCTGTATCTAGGCCGAGTGTGATTAATTAACACGCTCTGTGTTGGGGCGTTTTCAAAAAGATGAGACAAGGGGTTGTTGGGGAAAATAAAAACAAAAGATGAAAATAAAGAGGCAATTAATCAGTTGTGTTCTAAAAGAGCAGTGAACATGAGCAGCCGAGCAGAAGGTTGGGCAAATAATCCGTCACAGTGCTGATGGAAACATTGCCTGTCTCAAAGCCTTACTATTTCATTATGGCCACCAGTTCTGATTGCGCATAGACAAAATGAAGTTACACTAATTGGGAAAAAGAGCTACTTTTTGTAAGGACCTGCATAAAAATGATGTCTTGTATAGTCATAGTATAAAAAGGGGACATATTTAAAAAGATACACTGACCTTGTCTGACAACCACAGGTAAAATCTGCCATTCTATGGAAACAAATGTCTCAGGGTTAAAAGTTTAAATTGTGAGCATGTTTGACTTTAGCGTTGTTTCTGCAGCAGTTAAAGCTGGGTGTAAACTTCTTTGATTTGTTCTAGTAAATTTTCATTAGAAAATTAGCTAAAATGGTTTGAGTATCACTTTTCAAGTCTTTTCTCAGATTCTCAACTAAATTTATGCTCACAGGCTTTGATCTAAAGCATTCCCTTTCCACCCTGGTTGTATGTTTATGGTTGCTTTCCCCCTCAAAGGAAAACCTCTGGGCTAGTCTCAAGTTTTATGCAATCTCTTTCCTTCTAGTACTCCTCTGCAGCTCGATTCATCTCACCATCTCTGATTAATGCTTTCTTTGGGCACCCTCTCAGTTTAAGTGGATGACCATGTGGTGGCAGATTAACAGATGTGCATACTCTTATTTTCAGATGATGCTCCTTAAAATGTCCAATGCTTGATATATTATTTTAGAACCTAGCCCTGACTTAAACGTCTACACAACATTATTTCTGACACATCTGCTGCATTCCTTGGTCTCCATGATGCTGTAAGTTGACTGAATGCAAAAGCACACCACATTTTTCAGTTTTTTATTTTGAAAAATGCTGGATACCATGCACTATGGTTCTTCCAATTAATTATTAATGCTTGTCTACAACATAAAATCCTAATAAAGTACAGTGAAGTTTATGGCAGTGATGTAATTTAATGTGGAAAAGGTTAAGGGTTATGTATACCTTTGCAAAGCATAGTCTGTTATTATTAATATGCATTTGGGTCAAACTGTGCTAAAACAATAAAACCAGTTTCATCTTCAATAACTTGTCTCATAAATTCAGAAAATGAGTAAATATCTCTTTTAGAGTAATTATCTAATTACTTTTTAGTTAATTATTTATAAATGACATCCAATGTTTTTGATAGTAATTTTTTGTTCAAGGCTTGAGTCAATTTATGTGCAGTTTAACACTTTTTGTGTTGTACTGTATTTATTGTTGATTGTACAGCTTCTTAAGTTAGCCTTCACTGTATCTTTATTTTATTGCACAATTATTCTCTGTTTTTCTAGCTTTACTTTATGCTTGTTCTTCGTGCCCTGCAGCATCTTCGGAGTATATCAGACTACTTCATTAAATCATCACCATTCTGAGTCAATGGCGAGGCTTTACTGTGTGTCTGACAACAAGCGAGGCCTTTTGACCATAAGCGGATGTACACTCATATAGCAGCTGGGAGTGATGAGTCAGCGGAGGCTTTGCAGAGGAACCGTTACAGTTCTGTGAACAGATTTTTCCACTGAACAGAGCCGCTACTTGTCAATAGACACACACAGACAGCTGCAGCAGCTGCACAGGCCAGACTGACACATAGTCAGGTTAACTTCTCTGAAAGGTTGTCAGATTCATCTGAAGACTTGACTTGTGCATATATTACAAGTCTAGTTTTTCACTGAAAAACTGCCAGTTAGTTTTAAAAATAGCTTCACATAAAGTAGAAAGCCTAGTTTTTATCTTTCCTTTTGTTCTTGCAGTTCCCCTTTAGCTTGGGGACTGAACTAATTGTCATTACAGATGAATGTTGATGTTTTATGTAGATTTACTATATGCAGACAATATAAATATAGTTGATCAAGAAGTTGTGAAGTTGTGAAGGTGATCAGAAAGACAGGGAAAAAAGCTGTACTGATTTCATTTTCTAGCAGGTATTGGCAATTTCCCACAGTGCCAAAAATACCAAAACCTGCTTTAGTGATTTAGTATGCTGATCAAGCACAGTGGTGACACTGTGTTGGATTAGCAACCAAACTTTTTGAGTAACCTTTTCAAACATGTTAAGATTACTGTGGTACAAAAATATGCGTCTTTTGCATTCCTGGTTCTTGTGCATGATTTTATACTACTAACATGCTTGAAATAAATAAAGAAACAAACAAACAAACAAACTGGTCTCCATTAACTCCACACAGAAAAAACTGGGTAATGTCAAATGGAAGATGAAATACATGCTACACCACAGGAATTCACTGTTTTGTACTGAATAATTCAAGTCAGTTACCTTTTCATCTATGCTATTATTTATGTAGTATCAGATGGTTTGGGGGGAAAAAACTAAGCAAAACAACAGTATAACAACGACACATACATATTAAGTGAGCAAAAATCTAAAATACTGAGCTTTTTTGTGATGGTAAAATCTGACCAAACAGCATCAGGTATCCTGTCCCAAGTGCTTCTGCACCTCTCAGGGTTGTCAACAGATGTCAGTAGAGGTCAAAAATCACTTGAAAATAGTGTCATTACCTGTTAGTCCTGATTACAGGAGTCGGCAGCACGCATGTGAGTCTCCATCCATATGTGGCCAGTGACTGAAGTAGAGGAACGTAATCAGTCTTCACCTGCAAACCCTGTGGATAAAAAAAAAAAAAGTCTGTGAGGACCTGCAATCAAAAACACACACCCTAAAACTGGAGTATAATCATCAGAGTTTGTCTCTCAAAACCCAAACCACACAACACAATGTGTTGGAAGTGTGCTCATTATCCTACAGGCTGTATTCTTACTGTGATTTCAGAGCTTCGAGAAACATAAGTATGACATGCAATCAAACTCTGTCAGCAGTGGCTGGAATATCATCTGAAAAAATACTGTTCCTCTCAGATATGACGGCTTTAATATACTGAATGTGTACTGTCTATTTTCAAAGCAACGCACACAGAAGCAAAAAAAAACCCTGTGACATAAATCAACCACTGCAGAAACTCCCTGGCTGCCACGAGTCAACACGGAAACCATCTTTATTCATGACAGGCGTTTTGTCAGTGCTCCGAGTCCTTCAATAAACAGACTGTGTGTGTGTGAGAGCTCACAATGTGCTAAACATTTTAATAGTGTTTGAGGTTAAATGAACCATGGCTGCATAGCCTTATAAATGCCATAGATTTAAATCAAATATTTTAATGGTTATTTTGACTTCTGACTGAAGAGAAATCCCCCCAATAGATGAACTTCTAGAGCACACAAACTCGATCAGTTTAGAGCGGAAGTGTGTGTGTGGTTTGCCGTCGTGACATGCCGAAAATGAAAAACCACAACGCGTGTCGCTCGGCAAGCTGGCACACAAAACGACACATCAGTAAGCCCAAACAAACCTTGTTCTGATTAATTTTGACATGGTGAATGACGCAAAACAGCTTTCAATTTTAAAGACTGAAAAAGAAACTGAACCAATTTTACCAATGCGTAATTAAAAACTACACTACGACAAAAGGAATTCTGGAATGAGTCAAAGAGGCAGCCTAACGTAAGCATCACCGCAAGAGTCTATTCATAGTTTGCAAACCAACTGTAAGAGGTGAAAGACTTATGTAAAAGAGAGAAACTGTCACACCTACACGAACAGGATTACTGGTCTACTAAGAGTAGAAATTATTGCCATTCAAAGTTGGACCTGTCAAAGTTTCCCATGCATGCACTTGTTCACTTTAACTCACCAGTCTTACAAAAGCAGCCACCAAAGAGAGCACTCAGTAACCAAAATGTCAGGTGAGTAATTTAGTGATAGACATGTAAGGTTTGAGGTTATTTAAAGTCCAACAACCTGTAACTCTGTCCCCTAGAAACAGTAGAGCAGCATTAAGAGGCTAAAGCTTTTCAGAGTGCATTCCTTCACAGAAATCAGGATTTCTGAGATCCAAAGTCAGAAAAATCCAACAGAATATCCACCAAAAATGTAATTGTGACTTGGGGAGCTGAAGGTTCACAAGTCACTTCATGTTCAATATCCGATATTGTTGCTACACACTTAATAGGTTCATTTTCTGACTGTTTGAATCACTTCCTTTTCATATTTGGCATTTACTGGCGACCTCCAACGCTTGTTTTTATCTTATCTTGGTTTTTCGATATGATTCAGAAAATGTTGCATCTGAACTAAAATTACTTTAATCACTCAGATTTGTTTCATAGTTTAGACATAAATCACAAATACATCTATTCACAGCTCACAAATGGTTTAGCAAAGCTCCCTTCTCTCAAAGTAGTTTAAATTTGGACTGAAAATGTCTTTTAAAAAGTGTAAACAATAAAATAAATATGCCAGACAATATAATCTGAAACTCAGACACTATTGTTTGAATTAGTAGTATAAACTAATTTTATGTTTTTGCACTATGATACGTAATAATGTAAATTTGGGGGAAATACAACATTCAGCACCTTTGATTTGTAGGTACAGTGAAATTGTCAAGCCTTGACTGGTCCGCGGTGATAAAAAGGTTGTCCAGAAGGTCCACTGATCTAATAGATTTTTAAAACCAATATGAGACAAATAGAAAAATTTGCACTTAAAAAAATATATAAACAACATAATTTAACCAAAATGTGTTTGAACGACTTAGACATCGTTTAGATGCTCACTGGGAGGGAAGCAAACAAGTCTTTTACAGAAAACGGAAGCAGATTATTTATACTCTGTAGAGGTAATTGCTCGAAGAAGTAAACACTTAAAGAAGATATGTGAGTGAGGGAAGTGAGGAGACACATTAGCCTAATGAAAAGCTCCCATTACCAACAGCCACACTGGTTATGCTGGCAGAGAAACCACAGTCAACAACCACGTCTCTACAGACCAGCACAGTGTTGCAGCTACAACACTTAATTTACATCAGCCTACAGTCAGCGAAAGCTTAAGTAATTTACAGTTCACAATATCTGTGAACGGTTTCTGAATAAACAAGTCCACAAACGATAACAATTACGCTGTTAAAAACTGTTAAGCTACTGGGAAAATGTTTTAAATCACCATTTGCTTCTCAATGGCCTTCAATCTTTCAAAAATACTTCTTTCCCTACATTCTTTTCTAGGGTCCAGCTATCAACTAAGCATTCTTTTTAAGCACATTTAAATTTGCGAGTACATGCGTGTGATTGACAGAGCTAAGACTCTAGTCCTTGCTCTGATTGGTAAAGAGCTTTGTATTCAGATGGCAATAGTAGCTCAGGGAGGAGGAAATTGATATTTTCTCAGATTATGTCTCTCATACACAGAGACAGCTTTAAAAAAATATGTGAAAATCATATATTTTTAAAATGAAAGTTACATATTGCAGCTTTAAGCAGAAATAGCAAAATGTGTGACTGGTAGGAGCCAACAAAGCCAACATTAGATTGGGTTAATTTAAAAATAAAGCCAAATTTAATTAAGTTTAGATTAGATCAAGTAAGCTGAGATAACAGCATAACTTGTTTAATTTCTGCACCGTCGGGTTATACTGTGATGCAGCTGTTGCCATTGTGACGGGGTTTCTGATCCCAGGCCAGGTTTGAATCATTCTTCATGGTCTGCAAGTTCTACCCATGCATCATGGATTTCTCTCCAGGTCAGAAATGAATAACATATTAAATGACTTGACAACCTAGTATTCTACTAAGTACGGTTTACCTCCAAGTTCATCCGCAAAGAGAAACAGAAATGCATCAACTTTCCTAATCAACTACTGCATTTTAAAAGTTCTTTGGCAAGCAGCAGCTTTTGAGAGCTCATAATCTTCTTTCTTTTGCTGTCAGACTGTGTGGTATGTTGGAGTATTTTATGCGTCCAATTAAAGAAATGGGAACATGTAGAGATTTCTTATGCCAGTCTGATTAATGAGTCAGAGTTAAGTGGCTTGATCATGAGCATCCATCCATAAAAATGTTGAACAGAAGACAAGTAAGGAAGAGAAGAGGTGATATTGATCCAAAAACTATTGATCAGTTAAAAAGACTGCAATGAAGTCCACCTGTTTGGAAGGAAAACATGACTCCGGTTCTTACGCGGCACTTTCTACAATTCAGTGACATCAATTACTAAATATATGTTCATCAAGGTGCAGAGCTCATCATTTCCCCAAGCACATAGGAAATTACACAACTTAATAATTTTCTTCCACGTATTTCTGACCAAACTGACAAAACATGAACAACCAGCTCAGAAAGTTGAATCAGACTCTAAGTTGCTAATCATTAGAAGACAAAATACTGCTATTTATCTGTCTGTACTTCCAAAGAAGCACATAAACATTTTCTGTGGTTTATATTGGACTCACTCCCAAAAACAAATCTGCCCTGAGAGTAAATTGAGAAATATTTTTTCTGTAATGGTTTTGGAGAAGGTGAGAGTTAATCATAGTCCTGGAGTGTGGCTCCTTTGCTCTCCCCTTACTTATTATTCAGGGGCCACCTCGCTGCATCAGCACTTCAGCAACCAAACCGAGAGTCTGAAAAACAAAGTCATCACATTGTGGTCGATGATATCTGCAAGGCAATGGCTCAGAAAGAAGGCAGAATACCTGCAGCTTTACCACTTCAAGTACAGCTACTTTAAATCCCTCATGAAACTGTCTGCTGTGAAAATAAGTTTCTACAACTACAATTCAACTTTCTCACTGAATGGTATCTAAGTAGGAAAAAAGTAGAAGTTTTTCCTGTAAAAGATGTTTAAATAATACACAAAAAGATTTGTGACACTAACATTTCCCCCCTAGATTTCCTTCATATTCACATACAAAGCGGAACTATAAATTCAGCAAGGTTTGGAAAAATAAACCTATGAGAATTTTATTCTCCTATGACACAGGGACAAAGTATCGTTTCATATGCACTTTGTGATCAGGAACAACAAAAACACAAGTCTGGTGTTTTTCTTCCTTGCCTTCACCCTCCACTGGAAGACAGCAAAAAAAAATATAATAATACATAATACTGTTTTCAACCAGCTCTCTGTGTGTTTTTTTCAGATATTTGGAGGTCAACAGGTTTGCAGACCTTAACAAAGTCTGCTGATAATGAAGCAAACTGCTTTAAAAAGAGGGCATTCAGATACTGATCATGGCTGCCTCGCTCAACATGCAGCGTTGTCACAGCAACAGAGGTGTCTACATCTACTTCTCAAAGGGCATAAATAACCTTTTAAGACTCAGCAGCTCCACTTTGTGCTCTCAAATGCATCACTGATTGGCTACAATAATGTTAATATATAAAACACCTTAAAGCTACTCTGCAATGGTTTTTTGGGGGGTGATTAAAAGTGATCAAAAGCAAAAATTTTTCACCACGAACATATAGGCAGAAATGAAGAAGTAAACTATCAATTTACAGTAGACTGATCGATGTGAAAGAAGATAGATGTGCTGGAAAAAAATCTTAGCAACAGTTACCTTCAAAGGCAACTGGGCAGCCAACATCACTTTGCATCAGACAACGTCTCAAATCAAGATCAGTTTTCTAATTAGCACTTTCTACAAACTTTAAGATGAGAGTTCTAGTTGTGTGAAGACAGATTCAGGTTATCTAAGAATATTGAGCTATTACTACCAGTGAAGGGCTTGCTCAATACTGGAAACAGGTGGGCGTGACTGGAAGGTGG